GTTTTCTCTGGCAAGCAAAAGTTTGGCTTAGTCTATTTTGCTGTGTCTTTATTTCATCTAAAAATTATGAACTCGTCCCTGGACTTTTTGGCTCAGCGGTTAGAGCGTTGGCCTGCGGTCCGGAGTGACCCAGGTTCAGTTCCCACTAAGGGTACATATATCGGTTGCAGTTTGTTCCCAGCCCTGGATGGGTCGTGCGGGTGTCCATGATGTGTCCACTTGATGTGTCCATTTCATGTTGATGTTTCCCTCTCTCTCTCTCTTCCTCTGTTCCCTCCCACTCTATCTGAACAAAAATGGTAAAATGTCCTCGGGTAAGGATAAAAAAAAAAATTTGAACTCATACTGTGACTTCTCTGTTTCATTCGATAGTACTATGGCCAAAATTAAAGAAGAAAACCTTTAAAGGTAATTTTCTAAATTTTCTAGATTTTTGACAATTTAATTAGGTGTCAGCAACTTTATCTTTCTGTGAAAATGTTTTAGGTCTGAAAGCCCATGCAGCCTAGATAGTCCTGGTGCAATTCACTAGTATTATAAATTGGTGCATCATAGTTTATGTGTCAGATTAACCCCCATTAGATGAATGTGGTGACCAAAGCCCTGGCTTAACCTAGCTTCCAAGGTGCTAGTTCAAGTCTTACAGTATTAGAAATCCTGGGTGCCCTGGCTGTTTTGGCTCAGCAGTTAGTGTCAGCCTGCAGTCCAGAGAGACCCAGGTTTGGTTCCCGCGAAGGGCACGTACCTCAGTTGCAGTTTGTCCCTGTCCCTGGCTGGTTGTGCAAGTGGCAGCCACTCGATGTGTCCCTTTCACGTTGATGTTTCTCTCTCTCTTCTTCTCTCTCCCTCCCACTCTATCTGAATAAAAAATGAAAAAATGTCCTCGGGTGAGGATAAAACAAAACAAAACAAAACAAAAACCAATGGCTTCTAATGCATTTCTTTACTATCATCATTTCCAAGGAAAGATCATGAGAGCTCATGTTTTTATCAGTTAGTGCGCTTTTAGTTATAAGTAACAGAAAACATAACTCTGAGTTGCTTAAAATAAAAATTGTTCTCAGTTCATATAAATGAAAAGATACAGGTAGTTTAAGACTTGGTTCTGGGTTAGTCAACAGGGCTTTATATTACTTTTCTTACCTCTGTTCTTTGGTATGAACAGAGAATTCTGTGGCACAGGTGCACAGGACTGCAGAAAGCTGAGAGTGGAGCAGAAACTTGAGAAAACATTTCTAGTACTCCAGCCTCTATGCACAAAGTAAAATTAGAAAAAACTGAAAGTAACTATTGCAACAACAGAATCCAATTTCAAACTTATTCCTGACCAGATTGGTTCAGTACCTCTTCCTAACATCCTAGCACAACAGACATGTCCAGTTCCAGGCAAAAAAAATACTATTTACTTCAGTCTCTGCTCTTTGATACATGTTATTTCGCACTCAATATAAAATTACAAAGTAAAGAACAAACAAGACATCAGACTAATCAATAAAACCACACTTTAGAGATTATTATACTTTTGAAAGGTCAGAATTTTATGTAACTGGTTGATGTCTTGAATGTTGTTCTGTAAAATATGGGGAAATGTCAGTGGAAATTAATCAAATGGGAAATGCTAGAAAAGAAAATTTATCACAAAGAATGCTTTTGAAGGACTTGTGAAGGTTCAACACAACTGAGAAAAGTGTCAGAGAATTTGAATGTAAGTAAGTGGGAATCATCCAAATTAAAACACAAAATATGTGAAGAAAACAGAGTATCCAAGAACTGTGGCAAACTTTTTTTTTTTTTTAATGTTCACCCGAGGATATTTTTTCACTTATCTTTAGGTAGAGGTGGAGGGTGGGAGGAGAGAGAAACAGTGATTTGAGAGAGACACATCACTTGGTTGCCTACCGCATGACCCTGACCAGGGCCAAGGATGAACTGTAACCAAGGTACATGCCCTTGGCCAGAACGGAACCCATGGCTCTGGTCCCCAGGCCAATGTTCTAACTTCTGAGACAACCAGCCAGGGAATGGGAAAACTTTATGGTCTGATATATGTATAATTAGAAATACACAGGGAAGGGGAGAGAGAATGGGAAGAAAAATAATTGAAGAGATAATGGCTGAGAATTTTCCAAAAATAATAGAAGACCTGACCCAAATCAGGAAACTCAGAGTACCCAAGCAGGTTTTAAAAATGAAAGGAAAAACAAATCAACAAAAAATGACACATTATTGGCAAACTGTTGAAAATGAACAATCGGAGGAAATACTGAAGGCAGGCAGAAAAAGGACACATTGCATACATGGAAAACAGATGAGAAAGAGAGCAGATTTCTTACGCAAAACTATGCAAGCCAGAAGACAATGGAATTATATCTTTAACATCCTGAAACAAAATACTGCTAATGAAAAATTCCAAGCCCAGTGGAAAAAAGTATTTTTTTTTTGTCCTCACTCGAGGACATTTTTTGATATATTTTGTTCAGATAGAGTGGGAAGGAGAGAGAGAAACATAGACGTGAAAGTGACACATCGAGTGGTTGCCACCCACACAACCCAACCAGGGCTGGGTACAAACTGCAACCGAGGTACGTGCCCTTAGTGGGAACCAAACCCGGGTCTCTCTGGACCACAGGCCAATGCTCCAACCGCTGAGCCAAACCAGCCAGGGCAAAAAATGTGTTTTTAAAAGGAATGTAAAAACATTTTCAGACAAAAACAAAGAGAATTTACTACCAGCATATCTGCAGTACAAGAAATATTAGTAAAATGTAATAACACTACCACAAAACAGCAGAGAGAAATCAGGAGTATGCTGTTGTAAACTATACAAAATGGCATAATATTTTTAGGAGCTAGACTGAAAAATTATAAATGATTATTACAAGCCCTAGAGCAACCATTAAAATTTTTTAAGTGGTATATAGATTGTAATCCTTTAGTCAAGATAAAATGAAATCTTAAAAAAATACTCAATCCAAAGGCAGACAAGAAAACTGAACAAATAACACATGGTACAAATGGGAAGCAATCAGCATGATGATAGCTTCAAATCTAGTGATATCAATAATCACATTAAATGTAAATGCTCTATACTGTATACACTACTTGAAACAATTGTCATATTGGATAAGAAGCCCCTACTATATGCTATGTGTTCCATAAGACATCCATTTTATTTATTTATTTTTTTAATGAAGATTAATAGCCTTTTTATTTATTTACTTATTTATTGGTACGTGCCCCTTGCAGGAACCGAACCTGGGACTCTCTGGTCCACAGGCTGATGCTCCAACTGCTGAGCCAAATCAGCCAGGGCAAGACATCCATTTTAAATATAAAGAGATAGTAGGTTAAAAAATTAAAGATGGTAAAAGGTATGCCATGATAAAACTAGTCGAAAGAAAGTTGGATTAGCTATCAACAAAATTCATGCAAAGATATAACCAGGGATATGCTAGGAGAACATAATCCTAAATGTATGCACTTAACAGAGTTCAAGATTCATTAAGTGAAATCTTATAGAAAACCACAATTACAGTCGGATAACTCAGTAGTTCTCTTAGTAATTGATAGATCAAGATGACAGAAAATTAGTAAGTTTATAGAAGACTTGAACAACACAGCCACTCAACCTGACTTTTAGAGAATACTTCATCGAACAGTGGTTGAATCACATTCCTTTCAACTGCATTAGAAACATTCACCAAGATAACTCATGTTTTGGACCACACAACAAATCATACCAAGTTTAAAAGAAGTCATGCAGAGTATATTCTCTGATTCAAATGGAGTTAAACTGTATTGAGCAAGTGGTACATGTTGTCTACCACGAGGAGCAACAGTCTTAGAATGTCACCTCACTGCTTTGTTTTTAGTTTCTGAGGGCCCCATAAATCTTTATTGGAAGAGTAGGAACACCAGTATGCTGATAAATTTGATAATTTAAACAAAATGTACAGATTACTTGAAAAACACACTAATAAAGCAAATACAAAAAGTAGACAACCTGAGCCCTGGCCGGTTTGGCTTAGCCGTTAGAGCTCGACCTGCGGACCAATGAGTCATGGGTAGATTCTAGTCAAGGGCTTGCACAGCTTGAGCATTGAAAAATGAGACTTCCTATATACACTTACCTACCCTCCCACAATTTACTGTCTGCATTAACATAAGTATTCAGTTGTCATTACCATATCTTTACTATTCCAGGCCATTCCTCCCCAAGCAAATAACTAGATTGTTTATTTCAAGAACTTACACAAACACCCATCAACTCTTCAATCTCTTCCAAAGAAAGTATCAAGTTTGCCCCTGAAGATTCCTTGCCTACAAACATCCTTATTGTTCCCACTAATCCTGGACTTGCAGCACCGTGGCCTTTACCAAGTCCCTTGCACTGAAAGACCTCCCCTAAACCAAATTTACAATTCTCAGTCAATTGCCACTCTGCTTTCCTGGCCCTGACACTTTGCTGTCAAGATGTCAAATTTCTGTTGAAGTGGTGTTCTCTCTCACCACGATGAGCAATAAACTCCGTTTCTATCTTATCAACAGGTGTATTGGTGATGTTTGGGGAGCCGGCATTTCAAACAAGTTTGAGATCGTGTTCCTTAAATTCTATTTAGGCAATGCAGACAAGGTTACTTAAGTTTCCCATTTTACTCTTTGCTTCCCTAAGACATGTGGTTTTAAAATTAGTTTCAAAGTACAGCCTTGGCTTTTCTCTCCTATGCGGCCGCAGTTTCAAAAACTCGCAATTATTTTTTCATAAGATTTAAGAAATGAATAAAGCAAAAGGAAATCTGACAGTTATGCGCCAGAGATGGGCCTCAATTCGAATCTCTACAGTCAAAACGCGCAGCAACTGGTGGGAAGCTCGGTCCTTCGAACTGCATTCTGGGACATGTAGTACAGGTGCGCGAGAAAACTAGGCGCTTCCTGTTGGGCGTTCTGGGAAGTGTAGTTCAGGAACAGTGTCTAAGCTGAGGCACTTCCGCTCTCGGAAGGCGAGGTTGGGTTTGAGATTCCTCGCAGTTTGGTGAGTTAACCCCGTGTCCTAGCGATCCCTTTGAACCTTCTTTGCCTCGGCCTGGGGTGAGCAGTGACTTGGTCCTCCCTCCAGTGTGAGGGAAGCCGCGGCCAGCGGCAGAGCGCGGACGTGGAGGCGGCGGCGGTGAGCATCCGCCTGGCTGAGCCTCCGAGTCGGGGCCGGCTTGCGTGGTACTTGGAGTTTAGGGTCTCCCGCTATCTCCGCTCCCCCAGGTCCTCCCCGTAGGACCCGGCAGCCAGCTCTGCCTCTTTCTCTCGGTAAAATACTGGGCGAGTTCCTTGATTTCTCCCTGCCTCAGTTTCCTCATGGCAAAAAGGTTACTTCTTCCCAAAGGTGTTCTTGTGAGAATTAAGTGAGGTGGTCCAGAAGAAGCTTAAAAATAGTGCCAGTGCATATTAAATGTTGGCCGTTAACCATTAGTTATGTTGCAAACTCAGAAAGGCGCCCTGTTATTTGGAAGCTCCTGTGAGCCTGGGATGGGGTGTGGGCACTTGTTTCTGCACGTGGACTCTTTTTAGCCTCTGGTTTAGTAAGGAGAGTGAACTTCAGCCGGATCCTGGAGAAAGTCCTGTGTGGATTTTTCCGGACCCAGAAAGAATCGTGATATGGGCTTTGCAGAGTGCCTGACTACACGTATAGTGAGGCCTTAATAAGTGTGCAATATTGTGTGATAAACCCGTGTTGTTGATGTAAATGCAACAAGATTTATTTGGTTTAGGTTTTATTATTATTTTATTTTTCATCCTCGCCCGAGGATATTTTTCCATATTTTGTTCAGATAGAGTGGGAGGGGGAGAGAGAGAGAAACATCGACGTGAAAGGGACACATCGAGTGGTTGCCACCCGCACAACCCAACCTGGGCCAGGGACAAACTGCAACCGAGGTACATGCCCTTAGCAGGAACCAAACCCGGGTCTCTCCGGACCACAGGCTGACGCTCTAATCACTGAGCCAAACCGGCCAGGGCTAGGTTTAGGTTTTTATTAGTCGTTATTTACCTTCTTGCATATGGAACAAGAAACGTTGACGAGATCTTGTAGCTTAATAACATTTGCAAGAAATTACACCTGTTAGAAGAAAATTCGGGGCAATTTAACTATCATTACTAACAGGAGAAATGCTCTGTGAGACAATCAGTCAGAATTATGTTTTTCCAAGGGTAAAGCTAACTCTTGGGACAGAACAATCATCTCTGAATTCTGGGTTTCTTGAAAGAGTGATTTTCTGGAATATCACATTTACAAGGGCAGTTTTATGACACCTAAACTACTGCTTGGCTTCAGCTGCAGGCGATAGGGAGTGCCGGCATTATTATCCCCACATACAGGTGACTGGAGTGAGGCACAGAGATGAATGACTTGCGGAAGTTTTACACTGCTGCTAAGTAGAAAGTAATAAGTAGAAATGTCAGAATTTGAACCCAGGCATTTTGGCACCATTAAGTCATACTGCCTGCCTGCTTGCCTTTTATTTCCTCTAATACCCAGGCTCAGGAATACTCCGGAAGCTACAAGACACACTCGGCTTAGGGCTGTTTTAAGGAATGTTCATGAACAGTGGCAGCTGGCTGGGGGCCCAGGGGAAGCTGGAGTCCAGCCCCTGTTCTCACTAAGCGTTGTTGCCACTGCCTCCGCCTAGAGAAAGGGGCACTGACTGCTTTGTGCTCCCATGAAGTGCCATGTGGACTGGCAGCGTCCCTAGCATCTCTCTCATGATGGCTTTCCCTTCCCCAGTTTTGCCTTCCAAGAACTGCCTTTCCCCAAAAGGAAGAGGAGAAAAATGACCAAGTTCCAGGTAAGTTGGGTTTGCCTTTCTGTTTCTTAAAATGACATCTCATTTTACAAAGGTTGGACACACATTTCTTCTGCTTGGAAAGGGTAAAAGGGGCCAGAGGCACTTGACAAATTATTGTATGCCAGCCTCTTGCTTTATGCTTATTTCCTAACAGTAGTGTGAAAAGTAACAGGTTTATTTATTTTTTTAAAAATCCTCACTCAAGAATATTTTTTCATTGAATTTTACATAGAGTGGAAGGGAGGGAGAGAGAGAGGAAGAGAGAGAGAGATCCATGTGCAAGAGACACATTGATTTGCTGCCTCCCTCACGACTCTGACTGGGGCCGGGGATCAAACCTGTAACCCAGGTATGCCTCCTTGACTGGGAATCAAACCCTCAACCCTTTGGTCTGTGGGCTGATGCTCTAACCGCGGAGCCAAACTGGCCAGGGCAATAGGTATTTTTTAAAAATAAAAAAAAAATGACTCCCATTTTATAAACATGTTTACAAATTTGCTGTTTATTTTCCCACATTCCTTTTTATTTGCATTTACAAGTATATGTTTGTAATCACAGCTTATCATTTTGGATTTTTAAAGTTTAATTTTACATCTCCTACCACTTAAATAGCCACATCATTTTCCACAGGGTACCTAATATTTTCCCCTTATTTATGTGGTTTATGAATTTTACAATTTTAAAGATATTTGCAGTGACAGTTTTCCTACATAAAACCTTTCTTTATTTTTTATCCTCACCCGAGGACTTTTTTTTTTTGCATTTATCTTCAGATAGAATGGGAGGGAGAAAGGAAGGAAGAGAGAGACAGAAATATCGATGTGAGAGAGACACATCGAGTGGCTGCCACCCACATGACGCCAACTGGGGCCTGGACAAACTGCAACCAAGGTATGTGCCCTTAGTGGGAACCCAACCTGGGACTCTCTGGTCGGCGGGCTGATGCTCTAACTCTGAGCCAAACCAGCCAGTGCCATAAAACCTTTCTTACCAATCAGGAATTCTGAGAATTCTACCTTGTTTTTTCTTTTCTCCTTAGAGTAGTATGGCCTCAGTTTTCTGATACATTTTGTGGAAAAAACATCTAGGAATGCAATGGAGTCTGAATACCACAGAAGTTTGATACCAGCATTATCCATTTTATTTATTTATTTTTTTAATCCTCACCTGAGGACTTTTTTTTGTTCAGATAGAGCAGGAGGGAGAGAGAGGAAGAGAGAGAGAGAGAAACATCGATGTGAAGGGACACATCGAGTGGCTGCCACCCGCACGACCAACCAGGGCCGGGGACAAACTGCAACCGAGGTACGTGCCCTTAGTGGGAACCGAACCCGGGTCTCTCTGTACCGCAGGCCGACACTCCAACCGCTGAGCCAAACCGGCCAGGGCGGAAAAAACATCTAAAGTATGCCTTGGTGCAACTGAGTCCAGCTGATACTGAACTCAGGGAAAATTTTAGTGGTTTTCAAACAAGAAGAGCTAGATTCTTTCTTTAATTCTGAGTTGAACCATGTATGTATCATAGTTAAGTTTCTGTTTTATTCATTGACATATTAGTGAATTTTAAAGAAGTACATCCTTGGTCTAGTAGCACCATGGACTCGCCAGGCCTTTATTCCATGGAACAGCTGTGTGTAGATATAGATGATCTTGCTTGATTATTATTATTATTGATTTTAGAGAGACAGAGGGGGGAAGAGAGAGAGAAACATTGATTTGTTGTTCCACTTATTTATGCGTTCATTGGTTGATTCTTATATGTGTCCTGACTGGGGATCAAACCCATAACTTTGGCTTATTGGGATGGCACTCTCACCAACTCATCTACCCCACCAGGGCTTGTTCATATTTTAACATAAACCGATTTGTGAACTTCCACATTTCTACTTGAAGTCCAATGAGCCCCAGCTGACACTTCTTTTTTTTAATTTAATTTTTTATTAATTTATTTTTGTTACAGATGTTTCTCCATTTTCTCCCATTGACACCCTCCTCTCAATCTCTTGATGCCCCGCCCTGTCCCCAGCATTGTTGTCTGTATCCATGGTTATGCATACATGCATATAAGTTCTGTGGTTCATCTCTTCCCTCCCTCCTGACCCCCTCTTCTGCGGTTTGTCAGTCTGTACCCTGCTTTATGTCTCTGGGTCTGTTTTGTTCATCAGCTTGATCAGCTTGTTTTGTTCATTATATTCCTCAAATAACTGAGATCATGTGATATTTGCTTTCTCTGATTGGCTTGTTTCACTTAGGATAATATTCTCCAGGTCCCTCCATGTCGTCTCAAACGATAAGAGATCTTTCTTTGTTACAGCTGCATAGTATTTCATTGTGTATATGTACCACAGCTTTTTTATCCACTCATCTATTGATGGACACTTGGGCTGTTTCCAGATCTTAATGATTGTAAATAGAGCTGCTATGAACATAGGGGTACATATATTCTTTCTGATTGATGTTTCAGGCTTCTTAGGGTATTTCCTAGAAGTGGGATCACTGGCTCAAATGGCAGTTCAATTTTTAACTTTTTGAGGCAACACCATATTGTCTTCGATAGTGGCTGCACCAGTCTGCATCCCCACCGGCAGTGTACTAGAGTCCCTTTTCCTCCACACCCTTGCCAGCACCTGTTGTTTGATGATTTGTTGATGGCAGCCATTCTGACAGGTGTGAGGTGATACCACATTGTTGTTTTACCCAGGTGACACTTCCTAACCTAAAAATAAAAGGCCAAAGTTAGAGGCAACAAGCTTTCATTTGAGATCCAATAGGAATAGCTATTGGGGAAACAGAGATTCAGGGAGAAACCCAAATAGTGTTCCCATTAGGAAACAAAGGGAGGGAGTATTTATGAGAAAGGAAGGGAAATAATTACATGAATAGAAGGAATTTCTATGGGTGTTAGTAAGCTAAGGGTGGAATTTCTGTGGGTGCAGATAAGTTAGCATAGGGATGCTAATTCTAAAGAATGTCTTTGGCCCTGGCTGGATAGCTCAGTTGATTAGAGCATAGTCCTGATACTCCAAAGTTTCAGGTTCCATCCCTGGTCAGGGAACATACAAGGAGGAACTGATGAATGCATAAAAGTGGAACAACAAATATGAAAATAAAAGAATGTCTAATTTTCAGTCATAGTGTCTGTTTTCCTGTTAGCTTTGCAAACAGTTGTTTGGGATACAGTGCTGCTTTAGGCACAGTCCAAAGGTTATTTTGCTTAGTTTTAACATTCCAAAGGGTTGAGAAGGAAAACTTGCGAGGCAGTTCCTCTAATATGACAGCTCTAATTCCATTTTGGATCTGTTTATATTATTTTTTACACACTAATGGGGCAATTAGCTGAGCCAGGTGTTTCAGGTATCCAATTAGGATAAATGGAGAGATCCAGAAGAAATGAGACTACTTGAGGGAGATGCCCAAGGCCACACCACAGTGACCTCTCGGTGCATGGGTTGATGCTCAACTACTTAGCCACTCCAGCTGGGTTGGATGCCGTGATTTTTTTTTTTTAATTCTCACCGAAAGACACTTTTCCATTTTTGTTCAGACAGAGTGGGAGAGAGAGAGAGAAAGAGAGAGAAACATTGACGTGAAAGGAACACATTGAGTGGCTGCCACCCACACGGCCCAACCATGACTGGGGACAAACTGCAACCGAGGTACGTCCTCTTAGCAGGAACCGAACCCAGGCCTTTGTGGACCACAGGCCGACGCTCTAACGGCTGAGCCAACAGCCGAGGCTGTATGCCGTGATTTAACAGACTCTTCTAGAGGCTGGCTTTATTTATGTATTTTTTTTTTAAGTTTTTATTTATTGATTTGAGGGAGAGAGAGAGAAACATCTATTTGTTGTTACACTTATTTATGCATTTATTGGTTTATTCTTGTGTGTGCCTTAACCAGGGATCAAACCTGCAGCCTTGATTTATTGGGACGACGCTCTAACCAACTAATCTATCTAGCCAGGGCTCTAGGTGCTTTATTTCACAACATAAAGGGTACCATGTTAAATGTACACAAGATTTTTTTATGATTCTCTTGGTACCTTCCTCTCCCTCCCTTTATGGTGTGATTGTGGAAGCGGAAGAGGAGAAAATCTACTAAAAATGTTGTTCGGGTCCTTAGAGTCTGGAACAACTTCCTATATATCTCCTCCACCTGCTCAGTGTTGCCCTCCTCCCAGTTCTGAGATTGAGGTTACCTATGTTTGGTGTTGTAGGAGGGGGTGACATTGAAGGACGTGGCTGTGGTCTTCACCGAGGAGGAGCTGGGGCTGCTGGACCTGTCCCAGAGGAAGCTGTACCGAGATGTGATGCTAGAGAACTTTCAGAACCTGGTCTCATTGGGTGAGTACAGGCGCCTTCTGTAACCTGGCTTCATCCATTGATCAGGGTTTCCCAATCGGCACTGTTACTGACCAGGCCAGATAATTGTTGTGAGTACTATCCTCACATAAAATGTTGTGAGCATTTTAGGATGTTTGGTAGCATCCCTGGCCTCTGCCCACTATTTCAAGACTTCAGAACCCCATAAAGACCAGAGTTTTCCAGTGTTTTTGGAACATAGAGACAAGACATTTCTACTCTTTATTTCAAGGTAAATAAATTTGTCTTTTGTAAATTAATTGTAAATGAACAGTTGAGCTTGGCTGTACCTATCTCCTTATTTCACATATCTTTTTTCTTTTTTTAATCCTTACCTAAGGGTATTTTTTTAATTGATTTTAGAGAGAGAGGAAGGGAGAGGGAGAGAAACATCGATCATTTGTTTCCTATATGCTCAGCCTGAGTATGTGCCCTGATTGGGAATTGAACCCATGACCTTTCGGTGTACAGGACGACACTCCAACCAATGTAGCCACAATGGCCAGGGCTCATATATTTTTTATTAAACTTGTGGGTCATGAAATTAGTAAGTTGCATCAAAATGTTTGATAAACACTGCTTTGGGGAAGAGGCAGAGCCTTACATCATGGGATTGGAACCGAAATTTTTTTCAGCACCTTTTACCTTTAATTTTTTTACTTAAATCTTGTCTTTTCACAGGACATCTGTCCTCTAAACCAGATGTGATATCCCAATTGGAGAGAGAGGAAAATCTTTGGATTATGGAGATCCGAACTCAAAGACGTGGGCATTCAGGAGGGAACTGGGCAACTGGAGTCTTTGAAGGTAACAGCTCGTTACTCTGTCTCTCTTCTGGGTGATCAGTTTTCCACAGAGACCCGAGAGACCCTTTGAAAACATCAGTCACAAGCCCTGGTCGGGTAGCTCAGTTGGTTAGAGCATCTTCTGGATACACTTCTGGGTTCTATGCCTGATCAAGTCCCAAACAAAAATCAACCAATGACTGCATAAATGAGTGGAACAACAACATTCTCTCTCTCTCTTTCTCTCTCTCAAATCAATAAATGAATTAAAAAAGAACATCAATCATGTTATGTCTCTCTGCTTCACACCCTCTGCTTGCTTTCCATTTTGCTCAAAACAAACCCCAAAGTATTTAAGGGGCCTGGAAGGCCCTGTCGTGTTTGCTCATTCACCTGGCTGTACCACTCTACATTTTTCTCCTGTCATTCTCCTCCCTTTGACCCTGCCAGCGTTAACTGTTCCTGACATCTGGCGATTATGCTTCTGCATCAGGATCTTTTACTTTCTTTTCTCTGGTTGGATTGCTGCTTCCCCACAAATCCCCAACCACTCTTATTCACTCTAGTCTCTGCTCAGAAGTCATTTCATCCAAGTCCTTCTGTGTCTGCTCCATTTAAAATATTGCCCTGGCCGGTTTTTCTCAGTGGTTAGTGTGTCAGCCCACGGACCAATGAGTTGTGGGTTCAGTTCCAATTAAGGGCAGGCATCTCGGTTGCATTTTGTCCCTGGGCCTGATTGGGGTCGTGTGGGAGGCAACCAGTCGATGTGTCCCTCTCACGTTGATGTTTCTCTGCCTCCCTCCCACTCTATCTGAAGATAAATGGAAAAATGTCCTCGGGTGAGGATTGAAAAAAAATACTGTCTTTCCTTCACTCTCTATATCGATAACTTGCATTAATTTGTGTTTAAGCACTACACCAACAGACTTAATAGTTTGTATGTCTCTCTGTGTATTTTTTAATTGTAAAATATACATAAAATAAAATTCTAACCTTCTTAAGTGTACAGTCAGTGGTATTAAGTACATTAATATTGTGCAACCATCAGTGCTATTCACCTCCAGAGCTTTTCCCCAAACTGAACCTCTGTACTCATTAAACAGTGACTCCCCATCTTCCCTCTCCCTAGTCCCAGTAACCACTGGTCTACTTTCTGTCTCTGTCTCTCTGAATTTGATTACTCCGTGTACCTCATTATAAGTGAAATCATATAGTATTTTTACTTTTTATTTTATTCTTGTGTTTTTAGAGAGAGAGAGATCAGTTTGTTGTTCCATTTATTTATGCATTCGTCAGTTGCTTCTTGATGCCCTGCCCGGGGATTGAACCCGCAACCTTGGAATATCGGGTGATGCTCTAACCAACTGAGCTACCTGGCCAGGGCTAGTACTTGTACTACTTTTGTGTCTGGTTTGTTTCATTTAGCATAACTTCTTCAAGGTTCATCTGTATTATAGCATGTGTCAGAATTTCTTCTTTAAGGCTAAATAATGTTGCATTGTATGCATGTTTCACATTTCTTTTCATCATTGATGGACATTCTGGTTGTTTGCCTAATACTCAATTCCCAAGTATTTTATTCTTTTTGATGCTATTGTAAATGAAATTGTTTTCTTAATTTCCTTCTAGTTATTATGAATAATGCTGCTGTGAATAAGGATGTACATACATCTGCTCAAATCCCTGCTTTCCATTCCTTTTTATATATCCAGAGTAGTATTGTTGGATCATAATGATAATTCTATTTTTAATTTTTCAGGAACCCCCATACTGTTTTCCATAGTAGGTATATCACTTACATTCCCACCAGCAATACACAGGGGTTTCAGTTTGCCCCATCCTTGCCAATACTTGTCCCCCCACCTTTAAAAAAAAAATAATAGCCATCTTAATGGGTGTGAAGTGGTATCTCAGTGTTTTGTGTTGCATTTCTCTAATGATTAGTGATGTTGAGCATCTTTTCATGTGCCTGTTGACCATTTGTATATCTTTGGAGAAATGTCTATTCAAGTCTGATGCTCATTTTATTTTTTAATGACAATTTACATTCAGTATTTTGTGTTAGTTTCAGATGTACAGCATCGTGGTCAGACAATCATGGATTTCACAGAGTTCCCCCGGTATCTTTTGCTCATGTTTGAATCACAATTAGGGTGTTTTTTTGTTGTTGAATTTTAGGAGTTCTCTGTATGGTCTGAATATCCCATATCAGATACATGATTTGCAAGTATTTTCTCTTAATTCTGTCTGTGGCTTTTTTACTCTGTTTATAGGCCTTTTACTTTTTTTGGTGCACAAAAGTTCTTTATTTTTATGAAAGTGACTTTATTTTTTTGTTGTTGCCTGTGCCTTTGGTGTCATATCTAAGAATTCATTGCCAAATGCAATATTATGAGGCTTTTGCCCTGTTTTCTTCTAAAAGGGTTATAGTTTTAGCTCTTAGGTTTAGGCTTTTGCTGCATTTGGAGTTGACATTTGTATGTGGTGTAAGGAAGTGTCCAACTTGATCCCTTTGCATGTAGATAGTTTTCCTGGAACCATTTTTTTTTAAAAGATGGTCCTTTCCCATTGAGTGGTCTTGACACCCTTGTCAAAAATTATTTGACCATATATGCAATAGTTTATTTCAGAGTTCTCTGGTCTATTTCCTTGGTCTGTATATATGTCTGTCTTTATGTTAGTACAACACTGTCTTGATTACTGTAGCTTCATAGTACATTTTAAAATCAGGGTGTGAGTCCTCAACTTTTTTTTTCTTTTCCAAAGTTGTTTTGGCTAATGGGGGGTTTCTATGAGGTTTCATATGAATTTTATGATGGGTTTTTGTATTTCTGTTGGGATTTTGACAGGGATTGCATTGAATCTGTAGATTTCTTTGGGTAACATGGACATCTTTATTGTATTGTTAAAACCTCACCCAAAGATACTCTTTTTTCATTTATCCTCAGACAGAGTGTGGGGTGGGGGGAGACAGACAGACAGACATTGACGTGAGAGAGACACACATAAATTACCTACCTCCAGCATGACCCGGACCAGGGCTGGGGACCAAATCGCAAATGAGGCACATGCCCTTGACTGGAATCAAACCCATGACTCTTTAGTCCAAGGGCTGACGCTCCAACTTCTGAACCAAACCGGCCAGGGCTAGCATGGACATCTTAAAAATATTAAATTGCCCTGGCCGGTTTGGCTCAGCGGTTGGAGTATCGGCCTGTGGACCAGAGAGTCCCGGGTTCAGTTACCACTAAGGGCACATACCAAAAAAAATAAATAAATAACTCTTCCAGTTCAAGAACATGGGATGTCATTCCATTTTTTAATATCTCCTTAATTTCTTTTATCAGTGTTTTGTAGTTTTTGGTGTATAAGTTTTTCATCCCCTTGATTAATTCCTGAGTATTTGATTCTTTTTGGTGCTATGATAAATGGAACTTGTTTTTTATTATTGATTTTAGAGAGAGAGAGGAAAGGGGAGAGAGGGGGGAAAAACAAAACAAAACATTGATCTGCCGCTCCACTCATCTATTCATTCATTCATTCGTTGATTCTTTTATGTGACCTGACAGGAGATTGAACCTGCAACCTTGGCATATCAGGGTGACGCTTTAACAAACTGAGCGACCTGGTGAGGGCCTGGGTTTTTGTGTGGGTGGGTGGGTGGGTGGGGGTGTTCTTGAAATGATCATTAAATACATTTATTCTTTTTATCCTTACTCGAGGATATTTTTCTACTTTTTATTCAGACAAAGCGGAAGGGAGAAAGAGAGAAACATCGACGTGAAAGGGACACATCGAGTGGCTGCCACCCGCATGACCCAACCAGGACTGGGGACAAACTCCAACCAAGGTACATGCCCTTAGCGGAAACCGAACCCGCGTCTCTGGACCGCAGGCTGACGCTCTAACCGCTGAGCCAAACCGGCCAGGGCTGCATTTTTATCATGTGTTGCCTTTTTTAATTTTTAAGTTACAGTTGACATTCAATATTATTTTGTCTTAGTTTCAGATTAACAGCATAGTGGTTAGACAGTCATATGATTTACAAGTCTTCCCCTGATAGTTCAGGTATCCAACTGGCACCATACATAGTTTTTTCAATATTATTGACTATATTCCCTATGCTTTATTTTACTGGAATTGTTTCTTTTTTCTGTTTTAAAACTTATCTTTATTGTTGAATGTATAACAGATGTCCTCCTTTTTCCCCCTGTTAACCCCCTCCTCCCTGATTTTCATATGATAAATCATCTTTTCATTGCAGGAATAATCCCACCTGGTCATCATATATAATCCTCTTATTTTGCTGTTGAATTGCTTACTAGTAATTTGTTAAGAATGCTTGCATCAGTATTTATCAGGGATATTGGTCTATAGTTTTCTTTTCCTATAGTGGTTTTGTGTGGCTTTTGAATTAGGGTAATGCTAGCCTCATAGAATTAGTTTGGAAATGTTTCTTATGTGATGATTCTTTTTTTTTTTTTAATTTTTTTCCCGCTTACGTTCTTTTTCTCTCCCAAGGACATTTTTTTCCATTTTTTGTTCAGATGGAGCAGGAGGGAGAGAGAGGAAGGGAGAGAGAGAGTGAAACATTGATGTGAAAAGAACACATCGAGTGGTTGCCACCTGCACGACCCAACCAGGGCTGTGGACAAACTACAACCGAGGTATGTGCCCTTAGCGGGAACTGAACCCAGGTCTCTCTGGACTACAGGCCAATGCTCTAACCACTGAGCAAAACCAGCCAGGGCTGTGATAATTCTTTAAATGTTTGGTAGAATTTTCTAATGAAGCCATCTGGTCCTAGGCTTTTCTTTGTTGGGAGGTTTTTGATTACTGCTTCGATCTCTTTATTAGTTGTAGTTCTATTTAAATTTCTACTCATGAGCCTCGCCCATGTGGCTCAGTGGTTTAGCATTGACCTAAGCACCAAGAGGTTGCCAGTTTGATTACTGGTAAGGGCACATGCCTCTTTTGGTTCATCTTGTTTGGGATTCTCTGTGCTTCCTGGATTTGTATGTT